GGTGTCAACCACAGTAGTAGTGTTGGTAGTGTCGGCAGAGTTAATGTCTATGGCGGGACCTGCATTGTTGGCTAAGGTTTGGTGCTCATTGTTTGAGCATTTACGTTGCTGGTTACAATTATTGTGCTAGTTTCGTTAGCGGTGGCGCCCCCACTACAATTGCTTAAGGGACCCATGTTGGTACTGGCTGATATTTGATCAGCACTGTTTAAACAACTGTTTACGTTGTCATTGTTACTTAAATTACTGGTAAAATTTGTTTTGTTAACATTAATTGTATTACTAGTAGGTGTATTGGTAATGTTAACAATTCTTTCATTATATAACTTATCTGCCGATGCGCTGGGTTTACCAGAGGCAGCGGAGGGATCATCAGTTTTATTGAAGTGCTCGTCAAGAAGCGAAACAGAGCCCAGACTCGCACTGGAGGGGATATCAGATTCTGGAGGCTCTGACACCACACTTCGATCGGAAACATCGTTGCAAAAACCAGAAAGGGCCAACATGTCTTCCACGAGAAGACCTTGGGAGTCGAGAATGGCACTCTCACCACCAGACGAAACGCTATCTTCAACAGTCTCGGAGGACTGGGCAACAACCTACTCGGAAACCAAATTGGTACGGTAGGGAACAGCCAGGTCACTACCGGCGGAGGTGATGGAAGCTTCCTCCAGTGGGGCTAGCTTCAAAACCACGGGGTTGGCACCTTCCTCAACAGCAGTGGGTACAGCGGCAGGGCGGCCCCAGGGGTTGGGGCAGCTGCGGGTGAAGTGCCCGGCCTAATGGCAACGCAGGCACTTCCCCTTATCAGTGCAGGCAGACGACTTGTGCCCCACCGTGCGACAAATGTCACAACGGAGGAGCTGACCACGGCACCAAACCTTGCACTTAATCCCTCCAACAGAACTGAAACGCGGGATCTCTTTAGTCCGCACCATCCTCACCAAGCGGCAACCAGTGGCAATGGAAAGATTTGCAGACCACATCTAGTGCCGAACTCCTCTCACAGATCCAAAGCCTGAGAGAGCATTGATGACAGGCTCACTGGGTACCTCAAAGGGATACCGGTAGACTACAACGGTAGAAACTTCAGGCGTGTGGGGGAGGCTTGATGACGCTACACTCAACCCCCGTTTAAAACTGTTGACCCCTCCTCTTCTAAGAAGGCCTTTGCGGCTTCGCCGCCCACTTCAAAAGTGACCCTGGCAACTCGGCCAGGGCACTGTTGGATGGAAACAACTTGCTGTTGACTAACATTGCCCATGTATTCGCAGATATACTTAAGCATGTCTGCATCCGCCGTCCCCAAAGGATGCCGTCCCCCAAAGGCAATCGATGTCTATGGTCCGGTTTAAGGACAACACCATAATTGAAGGAAGAAAAAGGGGGCGGGCAGGGCCAAAGAGCCCTCCAAAGAGCGGCATGGAGGCGAAGTTCGGCTCTATCCACGTGAACAGAAAAATAGCAGAAAATAGAAGAAATACTTGCAAGAAAATAGCAGAAATACTTACAAATCCATATGCTCGATGGACCCTTGCGTTCCAACTTGGTCCTGAACACGGATGAGAAGAAAACTCCCGCACGACACGAACTTCAATTACCACTTTTTAAATCTAAATCATTCGCGTGATTTCATAATCAAATGAGCGCGCCAATTTTCATGGTCATACGAGGGCCATTGTTTTCATTTGTAGATTTATCAACTGCGTGTAATTAAAAGTGTGGCCCTCTAAGCTAATATTATACGCATCGATAGTATTGTCTTGCATGAATAAGTTATTACAATTGAATTAAAGATACAATTTGACCTGTAGATCATGTTAAAGTAAAGAAGTGATCTTCACGAGTGAGCTTCAATCGAAACTGCGCTAAATTTACCTGTCACTAAAAGATAGCAATCCTTCTTTCCTAGTCTTATCTGGTGATTTTTGATCGTCTCTGTTACGTTACCCATATTGTTCATCGGCAGAGTTCGAATCTTGTCATCAAGTTCAACAAAAGACTTTTTAACCTTGCAATAAAACGCTGATAGTTGTTCTTTCGTCCTCGCATCTTCGTCTTTTACTCTTGACAAAACAGAAAAGGCCTGAAAATGGAAGAGTATATTTGCATATACGCCTGGTGAACTGGAGATCAAAAGGTAGAAAGCTAACTTACATCTACTGTTCCTACTGTTCCCAAGTTTCATTCCAATCATGTGTCACTTCTCATAATTATCATGAAACGAAATAAATTTGAGTCAATCGTTCTCTGCCTTCTCTGAAAAATCGAAAAGTTCTAAATAGGCCTGTAAGGTCATTTTCCCCTCCGTAAAACGACATCAAATCTAAGTAATTTCGGAAACTTTGCGCGCCACAATGCAATGCATTCCTGCTTTCAAAATTTATGGTAGGCCAAAAAGGAAACTTTGATGTATTAAACTACTCCTTTTAGAGGATACATACGATGTATCAAAAATCTTTGCTTTCGTACAACGCCGGAGACATAAATCAACATTCAGTGAAAGTCCCATCAACCAACTATTAGTCGATATGATAAAGGGAGCTGATCAAGTTGCGACCGTTTTTGAAAGCAGGGGCAATGTACGAACCCCTTTCTTAACCTTCACCTCGTCATAGATCAAGAAAACAATACACTTGGAACTAATTGTCATATGATCACAATCATTTCTTCACTTAACCCTAACTCTAGGGAATTTACTATTTTCATTTGCTTTGAGTCTGTTGTCAGAAACTTCTCATTCAACACCTAGAAAATAAGTTTTGTTTGGACGTTGTTTAAGCCGGAATTGGAAATATGCAGGATCAAAGGCATGCATGAAAGGTAAAAATAATGAATATCACTGCATGAGTTGAGGAATTAAGTCATGTTTGAAACTGGAAAAAAAAAAGAATTCTTTTTTCGTACTTTGATAGCATGCTTTTTCAAACATTTTTAAACCACTTTTACGTTTGGCCGCTGTATGAGCTTTAGCGACTGTCTGTGCGTATTTCTCAAGAATAATACATTACTGCATTCCTTAGGCAATTACTGAAAGGCGAGACAGGGTAATGTCAACGATGTTTACGATACACTCTACATAATACGAGCGATAATGAATGATTGTGTCTTGTGTAAGTACATACCCCGAGTGAATTCAGATGGTTGTAAGTCCTTCTGATACCAGAAATATTACCGTAAGTGGGAACGAATTCGAATACAAAAGTCTAAAGGTCAACTGAGAGAAATGGCGAGTTTGAACTTTAGTAACATTAGCTCTGTCACAACAACACACAGAGATCGATACCGTGTCTCATTTATTCCGTACATCAAGGCTTGACTGTTGGCTAACATATTTATGCAAAGTAAATTGATATTTAAGTGTTGTCGACGCTACATTTCTTGACCACACAACTTTCAGTGCTAAAATAAACAGAATATTGCTGAGTGGAGGAGCATGAAAGCAGGTTCACCCTCCAGTAAATCTTCTGGAACATAAAACGTTCAATTGAGCCACAATTGGTATTTTTTCAGGTATTGAATTGAGATTCCACTCTTAATTCGGTTCGTTCAATTTCAATACACTAGAAAGCATTGAATTCGAAGAGATTTCCACACTCTGCGGAAGGGTAGGCTCACTGAAACAGCCGAATATCTCTCAAATATCATGGTGTGTTTCTTCATTAGAGAACACAGAGAAATGCCTAGGGTTCTAGAAAATTGATATACATTCTGAAAAGTTCCAGAAACTCTTACCTGACCGGCCGTTATGACTAGATGTGCTTGGAGACTGTTTTAATTTAGCCTTTACCCGATCTCTCATATGCTCCAGAGACTTTAATCCATGGCATGAGATTTCGAGCGCCGCTATTGCTTGAAAAACTTTTCGAGTTCATTGATTTTGTCGAGGACCTTTGTTTTATTTGCTGCCACATGACAAATTCCCAATGACTGAAATTAGGAGGAAGGTTTAGATCAGGAAAGGGATAACCACCATATGGGGTACTGTATGTCACCATTTAATCGCGTCATACTGCTTAAATGCCTAAAAAGATCAAATTCCTTCCCTCTTGTTTATATAACACGAACTTGACCTTTTCCGGGAAAAATGGCACGGGAAGTGAGAGGGAGGAGGGCGGGTAATTTGTTTCGCATTTCTAGTTTTGCTTCCTCGTGAGAGTTTTTTGAATCGACTGTTTTGACGGACGTTGCCATCAAGTTATTTATAAGCTATGATAGTAATCTGGATGATTTGTTCCGGGTGCCAGGGTGGCGAAGACTCTACTATCAAAGATTGGAACAGAAATCTATCCTAATGTATAAAACATTACATGGTATGACCTGATTATCTGAGATCAAGATTTGTATATCGTGACAGTGTAAGCGTTTTTCGTTTAAAGAATACCGAAAACAAATTAGTTCTTCCACAACCTCGACCTGACTATCTCAAGAGAAGTTTTTTGTACAGCGGAGCTCAATTGTGGAACAACTTACTTGTAGACCTGAGACAAGCGTCTTTCCTGACTGATTTCAAATCTAAGTTAAATCGCCACAGTTTAAAGTAAGATCCTAAATTAGGATCTTAACTTTAAGAAGATTTTAGACACGGCCTCCATGAAAAGCAGAACTTTTTATTGATTTCTTTTATTCGAATTGTTATTATCAAATTATTATTGTAGTTAGAGAGGTGGGTTTCTAGAATAGAAAATCAACTGATGGAAAAACCGTGTATAAATAAAGTTATCCTATCGTATCCTATCCTTTTTTGACAACTCTAGGCGAGTTTCAAGTGTTCAATCTCATATTTAGACCTTCGAAGTACTTTGAAGTTCTTTGAAGTACCACAAGAGATATTCTTGAATTGTAACTTTGTGAGAACAAACTTTGTCCTAGTCTCCATGAAGGGCTGGCTAAACTCCAACACCCCCACCCCCCTCCACCCCCAGCTCTACCCCACCCCCAGTTACCGAGAACACAAAGTCACAAAGACAATGCAACTACTGTTAGTCGATCTGGATTGCCCTTCTAAACTAAACAACGAAATACATCTTTTGAGGAGAGAGTTTGAAGACAAGAACATTACATCCATTCAGAACACCAAATTATTCATTTGCCCAAGTTTAGCACATGAGGACACAAAGGACTGTGGATGATTTAAGGCCAATTCATCTCAGCATTCCCAAACAGAAGGTTTCAAAGGCGAGGTATGATTTTATCCCTAGATAGAGTTGTTGCTTGTTAACAGAACCAAGGTATCAACATTGTGGAAAACCTCGCCATTAGGTTTTATTCATCGCTGAAGAAGATACAGGTGTAGTCGTTTTTTAAAGTCTAAGCTTTTTGTGGTCGAAGAGACTGGATGTTTTCTCAAATACTTAAAAAATGGTAGGAATGCGAATTAAGTCTAGCTCACGTTTGCCAACATGTCGCTTGATTGCATGTTTATTTGTCAAGATGTTAGAGTGCCATTATAGGATATAGCACCATAAACGACTCCTTTAGACGTAAAAAATTCACTTGAGTCAAATCACTTTGATCGGAGACACTTCGCGAGCACCCGTTGTTCCCCCCTTTTGCGTTTTTCTTTTCTTTTCTTGTCTTTTTTTTTTTTTTTTTTTACCGCGGGCTAAAACCTGATAGCGATATACTCATCGTTCACGAGTGACAACGATATTTTCATCACAGCATCAATTTTGATGAGTCGAGAATGCATTCTATGAGGATGAGAATAAAAGGAGGCCTGTTTTCTCTATTAGTTTCGATTGTTTTTAATCAACTTTATTTACGTGTTCAATGCATGCTCATTCCCATAAGTAGTCCTAGAGGTCAACTGTCTGTGGAGCAATTCTTGTATAAATCAATTGTAAAGGGATTCCCTTCTGTTGTCGAAATGGTCAGTACGACTTGCAATGCAGAATGCATATGGAACGCAAAGTGAAGACTTTTTCCGTCTAAGTCGACCGTATTTGTGAAAGCATTTATAACTCTACTAAGGCATTTTCCAAAACACTTTGTTTACTTAGAAAATATGCGTGGCCCATTTCCACGAGGTGGCGTGGATATGCAGCGTATGAAGCCTAAGTTTGGCCACGAGTTTAGCATTGGACTAAAGATTGAAAATATCGCTGCAATATTTTAAGGTACTTAGGCGATAACACATGGCTAAACCTAAACAGAAGTGCATGTTTTTAATCCTGATATCTCACGACAGAGACCTAATAAACTCCTTCATCGCGATGTTTTTTCATCGTAACCTTTTGAATTTTGAGACAATATGACCATTTCGGATAAACAGTCAAGAAAGGCAAACAATTGGTCAGTCACGGAACTAATATCTCAGGCTAACTACTTAATCACTGTCAGGAAAAATTCTCATATCAGCACTGATATATATGCTCCTAATATGCTTTCCGAATAAACTTTATTCCCGCAAAGAAGCATTAAAAATAGTCTATGATCGCAGGTATCTATGGGATTACTTATAGTTGATTGGCTTGTGTTTGGCTAATTTTAATCAAGGACTAGTTTTACGGGGGGAGCAGATATTATTAAATGGAACGACTCAATCGTAACCAGAAGCAATTAATGGTATAAATATATTGTTTAAACACATTGAAACCTGAACCGCTCGTAACCGCCCGAACCGCGCGCTTGGCTCGCGCGAGAACGCTATTCCTCCTACCTACCCTACAAAGCAGAATTTTGTCCCCAAATTTCCTCTATCGTTAAGTGATCAACAAACCAATCAGAATCTGTTGTTTTTGCATATATTTTGATAGCTTAAGGGGGTAATAGAGGGGCATCATTCTATGCGTTCAAACGAAGTAGCGAAATTTAGAGCGTCCGCTCGGCCGACCTTCAAAATTTTCAAGTCGGATTTTTCTTTCCTTTACGATCGATTTAGACCTTGTGGAACTCAGAATATAAAGTAGCAATGCTATATAATACTCCTTTTGGAAAATGATGGATATCAAGCTCTAAAAGGTGACAGGATAAGCTCTTGAGTCAACGACACTACGATTATCTAAAGCGATGCGAATTGTGGTGGTAAACCGAAAACCGAACTTTCGGACTTCAAGCAGGGTCTAGTGACAATTTGACGATTCCATGGCCCGGTGAATATGAAATTGAAGTAACGATGTGTTCAAAAAGTATTGTTTAATTTAAGATTTTGTGTCAAATAGGTCAGTATACTTTCAGAATTTTCAATATAACTTTACGCAATTTTCTTGCCGTGAAGTCAAGTAAACAACAATCTAAGCACGATGAATTTTGCCGCGTGGACTTTGTATACGTAAGAAACTCGTACCTTTTTCGCTTATAACAGCAAATAAAGAACTGTTTTGAATATAACTGCTGTCCCGAAATATTTCTTGGTCAATTTCGTCTCACTTCTATTAATAGATACCATGAAACTTGAGATCTCTTCATACACCGACAAATTTGCATATTCACTTCGTGAATATGCAATGCCTATTTGCATCCATGCGATGTTATTCTGCGCTTTTTATCCTTCATCTCGATTTTTGAGTAAAAAATCAGTCGGGAAACACATAATCGCGGCAATGCGACAGAAAAACTCTTTTGAGGGGCAAAATACACTCTGGATAGGATAGTATCCACGACTTCACAGAAGTCCGTAGATACAAAAATGTCACTGTTCAAAAGTCTCAAGGAAAAATAGCAATCAGTCTCTCTACTTAAACATGCGAGAAGGCTAAATGCAATGTTTTTCCCTTCTTTCTGGTTTTTTATTGTACTGAACAATATGAATTGTTGTTGAAGTTGACTTCGGCTAAGTCCATTGTGAAATCACTAAAATACTGATTATCATGTCTGCCAGTAGTAAATGTAAACTGCCAACGGAAAATTGCAGACTGCAACCCGAGTTCAAAATATTCATTCAAAACGCAATTTTCAGTCACCGCATTTGTTTATAAGTATTTTTCAATAGAAAATATTTCTCTGAGCGGCTCTCAAAGGAGCTCAGTTTTTCACCTTAGTTGCACCTCAGCGACGATGAGACTCATATTGCGTTACGGACATTGAGACGGATTTGATTGATGTCATTGACCCAGGGCATTCCCTGACGAAAATATAAAATTACAGTTGAAAGTTTTGGATAGCTGAATTTAGGATTAAAGAAATCTGTTTCAGTTATCACTCTCAAATATATTTAGTCAAAAGGCCGGAGTGAGACGATTTTATTTTTGCAACGCTCCTAAAGAAAACTGTTTTTGACATCGCTTCTCAGGCGACTACTGAGATATTATGGTATGTCAATCGTAATAAAAGCAGTCGAAGACTGCATATGGCTAGTTCTATATAAAAGAGGGTTAGGATGTCTAAATTTTCATGTAACTGATAGAATTTCTTATTTTAACCAATTGAAGACTGCCATTGAAGCTGTTAGTGGTAATATACACTTTTGGTTAGAGGGGGATTCCGGTTTTGAATCGTCAAAAAATTGCGCAATGCACAACTTTGTAAACATTATTTTCATTTCCAACAATATAATAACGTTTTGAAATAGATACAACATTTTTAATGAAAAAGATAAAAACCAAGGTTTAAATTTCATTGTTAAACTAATTGAAATTGATTTCACCAGTGTGAACAATATAATAATATAGTAATAAGTGTCAACAATGTGATAACGTTTTGAAGTAGGTATAACACTTACAATTAAAAAGGTAAAAACAAGGTGTCGATTGCATTATTAAAGACAGTGTTCGTAGTTAATCCAGCGATGTAATAATGTTATAAAAAAAAGAACTCGTAATCATAGAGAAATCAAAGGAGTTCGAAACTGTGAAATCTCGTGTGAGTAATGATTAATAAGCATCATTTTGGGGCCACATTTTAAAAATAACATTTGAAGTTCATCCAATAGATTATTGTTATCATAAAAGTCAGGATGCAAGTCCTGATCACCTTCAGCCTGCATTGGTCTTGTTGTTCAATACTTTGTGTACAAGCCGAGTGCTATAGAGCTGCATCTATCTTCCATCATACTCATTACTTGTTGGATTTCATTGCTGTCTTCATTACAGACAGCATATTGTCTCATCTGTTCATTGCTTACATAATAAAGTAACATATAGCAATTTTCAAATTATCATGATGAACATATTCCTAACAAGTCCGGTTTCTTCGTTTCTCCATGGAGTAAAGAACATTAGTTCTCGATACGTTTTTCAGGTTCAGCTTCCTTATTGTACAACTGAAACACTTCTTATTGTCCTTGCTTTGTTCTCTTTTTCGTTTTTCTAATAGTATTTTTGTACACTCAAAATTATCATCTTCATTTTAATTATCATCAATGAAAGTTACCAGTGGGAGACCATCGACATCTACCTCACTTCTTTGTTTTACAAACGGTTTCCCAGTTCTATCATACCATGCAGCCCAGTCTGCAAGTGTAAGGTTTTCTAGTTTTGCTGGGCGTTTATAATACCACTTTAGCAAACCACCAGTATAGCTTTCTTCACTGTCATCATCCATATTTTCAATATCATCTATTGGTTTTCAAAGCTCCACCCTGTCATCAGGAGGTGAAGTATTAACAAATATGACTTGCCCAGATGCCTTTCTCATAGGTAATTGTAATAAAATATACACTACTTCTTGTGCACTGATTTCAAAATTAAGACATTTAGTTCCAATATCTCTGACTTGTTTTTTAATGCTGTGATTTCTTTGTCGTGTCTCAGCACAGGCCTCTCGTGACAGTTCACTCATACCTTTTTGAGCTTTTGAAATGTAATTTAATATCTATACTGCACATGCAAATACATCTAATACATACGGGATAGCCATATAAGTTCTCCATGTACTCAGGCAAGCAGGGTTGTAATTGTATATACGCAATTCAACTATATAATCATTTTAAAAACACAAAAGAAGGGTTAAGAGATTAACGTATGGCCAGTAACTATTTTTCTTCTTCTGTGATACTCATATTTAAGAGTAACTGGTCAAATGACATATCCTCACCTTCTATCATATCATTTAAATGAATATCAATTTCGATAGACTCCAATTTTCTTTCTTTCTTTGTTTCTATTTTGCCGTGAGGCATATCTTTATCTAGGGGATATAAAGAGTCATAGTTTGCTTCACAGAAGGCTGAGGAAAAGTGAATCTACACTGACTTGTTACATTCTTACGATAAGTATGTAAATGTCTATGTACTTGTCTAGTATTTACATAATTTAAGATCATGCACTGGCTTATGACAGCTAATTACCTTATCAATAAATGCTGTCACTCATTCATCGCTATCTATTCGAAACTGTGGTGCTCCTTAAATCCACACAAACATATGTATATGAGATATTACCCTCTCTGTTGATATTCTACTCAGTAAAACCAGTCTGATATTTTGCCTAAAGGTTCAGCAGAGCTCAACAAGAAGTTTATTAGAAACTGATTCAATACAGTCAAAATGCTGTGCACATGTTACAGGGTCACTTTGAATTAAGCGACACCTTTCATCTCAGTTCAAACCCTCTATTTGTTCATCTTTATATTGTTTATTATCAAAAAGTTAACCAAGTATTCTATGTAAATGAATCCATTGTGTTTCTGCTGACGAAAAACTACAAAACAGTGTGCGACAGAGTCACTTAGGCCTATTTTCTACTTAAAACATGTTTGTTCTGTTTATTTTATTTGACGGAATTTTAGCGATTTGTCAGTAATGTTAGTAATGTTTTAATTGTGTTAGTAATGTGTTAACTGTATTAGTAATGAGTTAATTGTATTATTCCTTTAACTGCCGATTTCCCTTATGTAATTCCTGTTTAACTGCTCATTTCCCTTTTGTAATTCCTGTTTAATTGGCCGCTCCTAGCCTAAATTTGGTTTTAAGCTATTTTTGCTTTTTTCTGTATCTTACTATAAGTTACAACCGTTTGCTCGGTAGTTCAGTTGATTTGTTGTCTCCCTGAGAGTGCCCTTTAAAGCAGACTCCAAGCTATACTAGCTTTTGGTATGTTTCAGTATTTTGTGTTTGTTTGAGCCCTAAGCTTAGCATGAAGTTGTTTCCATTTGTATTTTTGTAGTGATTTTCGGGTTAGAATTTGCTTAGTTTAGCCACATATTTCTTTTATCTTACTACTGTATTTTATTTATTTACTCTGACCTTTGTCACACAGCGTGTAATTTCTCTGCTATATAAACTACAATTTTTTCCGTATTAGCAGCTGTAATAGTTTGCTTACTTGCTTCCAGTTCATTGTTCTTATGATTCCTGTGTTTTCAGTACCAAATTATGGGTTCATTACACTAGTAATTTCATTTTCCCCTTTCACTGTTTTATACTGTATTAGCTCAAGTTGTAATGTTAAGCCTAGCTCGTAGTCTCTGTTGAATTCATGCCTGGTGTAGCAATCACTATTTTTGATAGTTTCTGTCACACAATTTCCTGTTTTCAAGTACTTTGTTTGTTTCCTTTCTTTTACTGAATTATTTCTGTCTGTGGGTTATCCTTTAGTGTGAAGTACTTTCTCCTAATTCATTTCAATCTTGCTACATCATTTAGCTCATTGGAGCTTTGTTTTCTTATTTATTGTTTAGTGTCACTCGTTCCCGTTTTTTTATTGTACCGTTGCATTTATTTGCTGTGTAATAAACTTGTAAATCTTCCCTCGGATCTTTTGTTCTTACGTCGACCGTTTTGGCCGTCTTACAT